CGTCACAATTGGATCAGAAATTGACAGCCTTAGAGGCTTGATAATCCGAAATTAATTTCATATTTGAGCTTAGCATAATTTTTAGGTAATAATAAGCATTTTGGTGAAATTTCAATTTGGAATGATTAAACTGATTAAATTTTGTCCTATTCACTTTATATATATATATATATATGTATATGCTTAAGCCATTTGACTCATGAACCTTAAAAACAAAAACACTTCCTGAGAGGGTTAAAAAAAAAGGGGGGGGGGGAATTAAGAAGAAAAAGAAAAGAAAAGTCTTTCAAGGAAGGAATTGGGGAAGATTTAGAGGATTGTGGAGAATTTGACTCAAGGTAAGACACCTCTCTTTGAATAAAAAAAGGAATTCCTCTATGTTGTTGTGCTAAATGATTTATGGAGTTGTTATCTTTTGTGTTGAATTGATTTGGAGTTGTATTGAGTGAGAATTCATCTTATTTCCTCAATTATCAAACTTGAACCCATCTATATGGATATTTGGTTGCTTATATGTGTGTATGTGTAAGGAATTGGAAGCATGGTGGAATTGGGTCATGTTCATAAGTTTTAAAGATCAAAGATCCAACTTATGTTGAGATTGATATATGTTATGATGTCTATTTACATGTTTTTGAACCATATTCTAACCATTAAAGAACCTATTTTGAGCCTTGAAAAAGAGTACCAAAAATTGGATTTTTGCTGAATTTTCGAACTGCTTTCTGCCAGAATCGCCGCACGTGCGGGGCTTCTTGCCGCACGTGCGGGAAGCACTACGGCACGTGCGGGGCTCACAGCCGCACGTACGGACCAAACTGCAAAAATTCGTTCGCTCTGTTTTGTGTGCTTTACCCTCTGGTATTTTTGAAATTCATGTTTGAAGTTCCTAAGATGCCTATAAATTCGTTCGAAGTGAAATGATGCAGGAAATGAATTAAGAAAGAAAAAGAACTAATGTCTAAGTTATGTATGTGTACAGGGCACATTCCAGGAGGGACAAGCACTCCGTTGTAGCACTGTGAGTAGTAGTACAATGTACATTTTATCTAATTGAAATTCATGTTTGAAGTTGCCATTCAAACCATGGGCACCGGGAGCTCGTCCACTTTCCACCTCCATGGTACAATCTCTTTTGGGTGCTCAGAATCATTCGCTCAAGTGAGACAACATTCTTAAGCAAGTAAATAGCAGTTCCATCTCATTCAACACTACAAGAAAAATACACTTTTGGTAACCTTCGTTGTAGCACTGTGAGTAGTAGTACTGTGGTCGTACATTTAATTATCGTTAATGATTCCCATTATTAACATCCCGTTCTCTACAAGTAATTATGTTAACAATATGTTGATTGGAAAATCTAAAGGCATTATTCCGCAGTACATTTTATTTACTGTTGATAAAGAATACTAACGTTATTTGCAAGATAGCTATAGAGATTCATGACGAACCAAGGGTACGTATAAGCACTATGGAACCATGGTATTCACGTATCTCTGATATCATTCAATCTGTACAATGTGCTTACCTTTTGTTAATAATTATTAGGAATGTCCTGTTAGACTTAAGTTAACTATGTTAACTCATGTGAATGATGTAACGGTTACCATTAGTACTCTATTAATTACAAGTCAACTATGTTAACATATATGAACGATCAAACAAAGGTGTATACTTCTATATGCTACTGATTAATAGATCAAGTGAACTACGCCATTTCTTAATGAATAACAAGGAATTATGTTCATTCTTGAAAAACGGATTTTGAGTAAAGGTGAGAGCCTACTGTTTTGTTGTTCATAGGCCACATGCCAATCAATTATAGGTTATTAAGTGTAGACACCTTCGAAGAATCAGAATAATTGGAAGGCTATGTGTATTCATGTGAATTGGAAGTTATTCAGAAACTACGACATAAGTGCAAAAGTTTAACATTAGTGTGTGACCCTCATGAAAATGTGAATTATTCTATCTTTGTTAAGCATACAATAATAATGTGATATGACAAGAAATGCCTTATATTCTAACATGTACGTTTTGAATCACTGAATGATTGTCCATTTAGATAAAGGTATTCAAGGCATCCTTAGCACAAGGCCCTTACTCGGGGATAATAATATAGTGGGTCACGTATGTTATAAGTTTACGTCTGTTACAAGTTTAAGTATGTTTATGTTACAAGTTTACATATGTTACAAGTTCATGTATATTACAAGTTCAAGTATGTTACAAGTTCTCAGTACCGGAGGACTCCTTTATAGAACTAACAAGAATTCGTTATATTGATTTGTTAGCGCTATTGAAATGCCAAGCATAGTCAAGTATGAATTCGAATTGCTATTTATGATTCAAGCAGAATGCGTATGTATGAATTTGTTTTCGTTTATGGTATGACATGATATGTATGGTTTGGTTTGTAAAACCTATTAATTCCTGGGATGGAACAAAGTGCTATGTTGTGAGCCACCTCTAGAGTCCATGTGAGACACCTCTTGAATCCATTCATATATGAACTAGGCTTAAAGCCAATATGGGCCTATGGTCATTCTGTATGATCTATTAGGCCAAAGGCCATCCTGTGTTTCTGGTATGGGGCAAAGTGCTGTACGGAACTAAGTGCTGCAGCGCGAGCTACCTCTAGAATCCGTACGAGCCACCTCTTGAGTCCATACATACGTGAAAGTTATGAGGCCTATGGCCATTTCGTATAAGTTTTTATGATATGAAACAAAGTGCTACACGGAACTAAGTGCTACGATGTGAGTCACCGCTAGAATCCGTGTGAGACACCTCTTGAATTCATACAAATATGTTCAAGGGCTTCATGCCATATGTACAAGGGCTATATGCCATCATGTTTAGGGGCTTCATGCCATATGTTCAAGGGCTTCATGCCGTATGTACAACGGCTATATGCCATCATGTTTAAGGGCTTTATGCCATATATTCAAGGGCTATATGCCAACACGTTTACAAGTTTAATGCTACTATATTCAAGGGCTTTATGCCACTCTGTTCAAGAGCTTAAAACCATTATGTTCCAAGATATTATGTTCCAAGCCATTATGTTTCAAGACTGGGCCTAAGGCCGTTTTGAAACTAAATTAACCTAAGTTATGTATGCATTGATATGCATTATAATTCAAGTTGAGCATTGCATCGTTTATGTACTATTATTCACTGAGCCTGGCTCACTCTGTGTTATGTCTGTTTCTGTGGGAACCAACCAGTTGGTCAGCCCTAGCCATGACACCCGTTTTCTTTTGTTAACCTTCGTGGATCCAGGCACTGCATGAGAACATTTATTTTGTAAAATCTGTTAAGATGTTGGCTTACTTTTGATTGTCCACCCAAGGTTGAATGTATAAAACTTCAATGCTTTTTGTATGTGCCCAATTATAGGGCTGAGACTATATATGTAGTTGTATATAACCGATGCTCCGGGATATAGTTTGGACTTTACCTATCTACTATGATGCATGTGATGTATAAGATGCTGGCATGTAGAAGTAGCTCAATGGAGTTTATATGTATCATTATTTTCATATTATGTGCTTCCAATAAGGCCCCATATGTTATATACAAAAGGTTAAATGTTCGTTTTCGAACGGGTTATGCCCAAACTTTTAGGGACGGGTTTGAGGCTGTGACACCCACTATCTTTGATTTCAATTTTATGATAATGGGCTACTCCAAAAGCTCAGATCCCAAAAAGGGTCTTCAAGTTTATGCCCAAATACGATGTCTAGGCTTTGAACCAAATGATCACACTTTCCCTCTTTTAACCAAAGCTTGTTCTTGTATACATTCACTGTATCAAGTTCATGGTCAAATAATGAAGTTTGGATATGGTTGTGATGTTTATGTGATCAGTTCTATTGTACATATGTACTCAAAATTTGGAGCAACCAATTTTGCTTGTCAAGTGTTTGAAGAAAGTTGTAACAGAAATGTGGTTTGTTGGACTAGTCTTATTAGTGGGTATTGTAGTAATGGGTCGATGAGGCTCGTGAAGTGTTTGATTCGATGCCTGAAAGTGCAATGGTTTCTGGGTATGTGTGGAATGAGCATTTCAATGAGGCGATTGAGTTGTTTCGCAAGTTGAAGAGTTGTGCTAATGTGAGGCCTAATAGGTCTCTTTTGGTCGGTGTTCTTAATGCTTGTGCGGCTGTGGGTGCGTTTGAGGAAGGTAAATGGGTTCACGCTAATATAAATGAGAATTTCTCAGAGCTTGAGCTTCAGTTGGGTACTGCACTAATAGATTATTATGCAAAATGTGGCAACATAAAAGATGCAGAAAATATCTTCAATAAAATTCCCTGCAAAGATGTGACAACTTGGAGTGCTATGATCTTGGGATTAGCCATCAATGGCAACAATGAAATGGGGCTTCAGCTTTTCGCAGAGATGGAAAGAAGAGGGCCAAAACCAAATGCCGTAACTTTAGTTGCAGTTCTCGCTGCTTGTAATTGCTTAACTATTGTGAACAAATCATGGAGATTATTCGGGCGTATGAGTAAAGTTTATGATATCTCACCAGTGATTGAACACTATGGTTGTATGGTTGATCTTCTACCCAGGGCGGGGCAAATCAGAGAGGCAGAGGTTATGATAAAGAGTATGCCAATGGAACCGGATGGAGCTATATGGGGGTCTTTGCTTAATGAGTGTTTGATGCATGGTCATGTTGAGTTGGGAAAGAAAGCAGGGAAGCTTTTGATCCAATTAGAGCCTCGAAATAGTGGTCGGTATGTCCTTCTGGCAAATATGTATGCTGCAATGGGCAGGTGGGAGAGTGTGGTGAGGCTAAGGAAAATGATGAAAGATAAAAAAGTAGATACATGTCCTGCTTGGAGTTTCATTGAAATTGATGGAATTGTACATAGATTTGTTGTGGATGATAAGTGTCATTCTCAATCAAATGATATCTGCAGACTTTTGAATCAACTTAATATGGATATGATGTCATTTTGCGATGGATCAGTTTAGGCAAAGATTTTATGATCTTTCGCAATCCTGCAAAGCGCAACAAAACAATAATTTTGATTCTAATCGGGGTTTATTTCCAGCATACCCTGCAGAAAGTTTGGTCAAGGGCCAATACAATAGGTATGTATTCTCAAGCATTTCATGGAAAGTACTGATCACATAAACCTACTGCTTTAGCTGAACTTCTTGCAAACCTACTGATCACATAAATCACTGCCTTATTGTCTATACTATCAAAAGGAGATGACTTCGAAGTTGAGCAATAATTTTGCTATAAAACAGCAAGAATGAATAAGCTGACTTGTTTATGGGATTCAGAGAAGTTGATTAAATCTGTGAAAATAATCTAATAAACCAAACGGGCCATTACCAAAGTCAATCATGAAACCTTTTATGGATACTTCTTGAAACTGCTTAATTGAGTAAACTTGTTTTCAACTACAAGATATAGTCATGTCTTCTTTCAAGTGAAAAGGCTTTGTTGAGTTGAGTATATCTAAACTTTGTACTGGCAATTGTATATTCATCCTTCAAATACAATAAATATTAGAGATGATACAGGTTTTATTTGTGGTTCTAAAGAAGAGGAATTGACTGATAGGCCTAAAAAAAACTCTATTTTGATTGGATATCCATATTTTAATCTGTATCTTCTTGTTGATGGATTTGTGTGAGATAACCTCCAGAACCCTTTCCTTTGGTATTTCACTCAAACAGATCATTCAAAATTCAAATGATGCAGCAAACAACTGCTATGGAAGACTGAACATGAATATTCCACTGTGAAACTTTTCAGTCAGTGAGTAGAAGAATTGATAAATCAAAAAGAAAATTGACCATCATAGCTTATAAGAGTTCAATTAGGACAATTAATTTGTGATGGATGGGTCAAATTTTGCTTCTTGATCTGTAAATTTTTTGGTTTTCTTTCTATTGTTGGTATTTACTTGGTTTAAACAAACTACAAGTTGTGTTTGAACCCAATATATTTTTAATGCTATCTTGTTTGTCTTATGACTTAATTGATCAAAGTATTTAAAGTATTAGTTTTTCTTCGCCCCTTCTTATTTGGTTATTGTAAGAAAGGTCTTTAATTGCTGCTATTCTATCAGTTTAGGTATCGGGAAGGGATCTGAGGCAGTTGAGAAGAAGCAACACTCTGCCAGTGAGGTTTGGAGCACCAAACCTAGAGTTCATGGTTTGTCAAGAATTAACTTTGTTTGTCATGTGCGCTAAGATCATTTATGACCATCTTGTTGTAATTAGTTCTTGCATTTATTAGTGTGTATGAGGATCGTGAGCAATAGCTCTCCGCGTCTAAAATTATTGGGACAGATAAAATTATTCACTTCCTTTGACAATACAACTAGTTAAAATTTTGTTGAGGGCAAAGCATTAAATTTCAATTATGAGATGTTTGTGGTGTACATATGAGTCTGACTACTCTGTATCAATTTGTTGTTTGGGCCTATCCTTAATAGTCATTGATGCAATCCATGATACTCGTTTAGCTTCCAGTATTTTGATTATTAACAGCCTATTAAATTGCAGGAGGAGAATCATATTTGATTGAAACAACAAAACGGATTGAGTCACATTGATGAATTAGAGTCAATCTTGGGAATAAAACAAAGAGACCGGCGGATATTTACTGTCATGTGATATTTTATTTTTAATTTTTTAGAAACTGTCCTACCTTTTGGGCATGTAGTGAGAGCCATAATTGATCATGATGATCACGGTTGTTAACATCCTCATCGTCATTATCATTGTGTTATTTTTTTTGATACATCGGAAACTGTCCTACCTTTTGCTATTCTTTTTCTGTAAAGGCCATGTTTGTTTGGGCGGACTGGATTAGCATTCCCATGACTAATAATCCTGGGATTACGAATCCGTTAGATTATGTATCCTATCTTAACTAAAAGTCAAGTTTAAAATAATTAGTCCGTATTTCAATAATTTAACCAAACATCGGATTAATAATTTTATTGGACTATTAGTCCAATCCCAAGCTCATGTCCACCCAAACAAACATGGTCATAGTAAATTACAATGGTTAGTTGGGTGCTAGCTTAGGACAGAGTAAGGATGATAACAATGATTATTTAATGTAGAGGTGCCGATACAAACATTCCTAGGAGGGAAGTGAATTGTTTATTTCATAGTCATCACATGTTTAGATTATGTGAAACACGCAGTTGATTTAAAGGAGAAAGAATACATAATTGGAAACCTATGTCATCTTAATTTCCAGTAAGTTTTTAGATCTGAATTTTTTTTTGTCTTTCAGTTGATCTCAGGGTGAGTGCACTAAAATCGACGGCGAAGTCTCATATGCAAGTTGTTTTTTTTTTCCCCTTATACCTGATATTTTCGTCATCGCTCTTGGGTTCAAGTATGTCCCTCTCAAACATATGGATACGATTTTTCCCCCTCATTTTCGGTGACATTCCAGGAAAGTGTGACTTTGATGTGATGTTTTGATTTCTGGTTGATCGTTCTTTAACTCGAAAGCAATTCAATGAGTGAAAAAAATATCTAAAAAATCTTGGGTATATTACACTAATAGTCCCTATAGTTTGGGACTTGTGCCGCTTTGATCCCTGACTTTTCAATTGTGACACATTTGACCATGAGTTTTTAAATTTTGTTCCAAATAAGAACAATTGAAAATATCATTAGATTTTTCAAGGGTAAAATCGGCAATTTTATACAATATAAACTAATTTGACAAAAATAAATGTCAAAAAAATATTTTTAATTTTTTTAAAATTATTTTTATCCACCAATGATAAAATTATGTAAAATTAATAAAAATTACATGATTAATTTTTTTAAATTAATTTTACATGATCATCATCCAAATACATAATAAAAATTAATTTGGTAAAAAAAATAAATAAGTGTCTAAAAGATTTATCAATTTTACATAATTTTATTTTTAGTAGGTAGAAATAATTTTTTAAAATTCAAAAATATTTGTTTGATATTTATTTTTGTCAAATTAGTTTATATTTTATCAAATTAACAATTTTACCCTTGAAAAATCTAATTATATATTCAATTGTCCTTATTTGGAACAAGATTAAAAATTCAGGGTCAAATGTGTCACAATTGAAAATTCCGGTACCAAAGTGATACAAGTCTCAAACTATAGGGACTATTTGTGTAATTTGTCCAAAAATCTTTTGATTTGATTCGGAATGGTAATTTTACATATATATTCAATATACATGCAGGCTTTGGCTATTACGAATTCGGAGGAAAGGAACACAAGATTGGAAAATATATGTTCAAGGATTTGGAATTTGGTTCGCAATAAGTAGCAGGCTTTGCTCTTAATCTTTTGTGAAGTTAGTTTTTTGTTTGTGATAATTTGAATAAATTTGGTGTTCTTGTGATTGGAGAGTCAATAATATGGTTGGTGGATCCAAAAAAAGAAAAAGGAAAAAAGAAAAGAGGTTTGTAGTTCTATGTACTTTATGAATCACAAGTTGTTTTTGTTGTATGGAGTTTTATTGTCTAGAGATTGGTCATCAACAATTTTTCTACTCGGGTTGATTTTCATTTGTACAGTCCAAACTAGGAGTAATCTAGAAATCTTCTTGTTGTTGATGCTTTTGTCTTATTCTCCGTTGAAGGTTATTTTAGTGAATGTGCCTCATAATTGAGAAACAGTTTCTACTACGATGGAGTTCAAATGTTCGAAAATCTCATTCCAGTGCAGATGATTGACATATTAATTTGTCATATATTTGCCTCGCTCTATTATTCCTAACTAATGATAGCGCAATCGCCATGACTTTATTTCTCTCCACACGCGAATTGCATAGGGATTCAACTAGTAATTTATTTAAAAACAAATGATAAAATAAAATCTAGCATTCGTACGTAAATAATGTATTATTGTAAAATAATTTCTCATGCAGTAAGATCTGCTGTAGCATATATGATCAATTATTTAAAAGTGATATTACATTTCTCAATCTTTTTATTTTCTTTTCTGTTTTCCATTATAATCAAACAAAAAATAAATTACATTTCTTTTTTTCTTTTCATTTATTTCATCAAATCTACCCACCAAACACAACCGAGGGCTACCAACCAATATTTACCAAGTTAATAATTTACATTCCTCTGTTACCTACATACAGTTTTATTTATTACTTAACTCGATTCGATGGATCGTTTTAGTAAATGTGTCTCAAAGAATTGAGAAATAGTTTCCACTACGATAGAGTTCAAATGCTCTAAAATTTCACATTTCAGTGTAGATGACTAGCATATTAGTTTGTATAGTCAAGGTGGCCAATGTATTTGCTTTATTTTTGCTTATGAATGGATCACAATTCTTAAATCATGTTCAATGGTTCAATATCTGACTAATTTTGCTCGTAGTTTCAATTCGTACAATAAGTTTATAGAATTTAATGACAATTTGTCCCATCTTTGTTTTGCTCTATTATTCCTAGCCAATGATAGCATAATCGACATGGCTTTATTCCTAGCAAATGACGACACAACTCCTACGTGCGAATTGCATGGGGTCTAACTAGGAATTTATTCAAAAACAAATGATAAAATAAAATCTAGCATTCATATGTAAATGAAATATTATTGAAAAATAATTTCTCATGCAATAAGATCTGATGCAGCATATATGGTCAACTATTTAATATTACTAAAGACCAATGATAGAAATATAAGTTGTGATTTTAATTTTGGGATTTTTATTAATAAATCCATTTTAGAGTTGTTATAATCCATTAGGTCCACAAAGGGTTATTATAATCTGATTAGTCCCATATACTTTTCTTTTTTTTTTTCCATGAGGTCTATGTTACTAATTTTATGTTTCTAACTGGACTATTATGCCCTTATATATATATATATATTGTGTTGATACACATACCACGTTGCTTCTTTTTTCTTTTATTCTGTTTTGGTAGTTTTTATCTTCACGCTTTTGATCATCATTCTAATTCAGATGGATACGTTTTTATTTTGCATACTCGTTTTAAGGCTTTGATGTGCTAGGGTTTCATTGTTGTTGTTGTAGTATGGTTCGATGATTTTCGAGTGAAGACGACGGATTGGACGGTGTTCGGTTGTGACATTTTTTGAAGTATAACTAGTTGAAATCAGTTGTTTTCGAGTTACAGGACGAGTGTAGGATTGCATGATTAAGGTTAGTATCATTTTGGTTATGAATACATGTTCAGTTTATGTTTTGATTTGTATGATGGATAAGATGCTCTGTTTTTTTATTGATATGGATCGGATGATCTGTTTGTTCAATTATATGCATTTTACATGGTCTTGTGGAAGGGAGGTTATTTAGATTATGTGAAGAATGTGGATGTTCTCATTTTACTTTGATGTTTGCTTAATGAGGCTCTGTGTGGGCAAGATAATTCAAAGTAAATGTAACAATGTGAATGTTCACATCTTGTTAATATGAAGTTATGGAGTGCTGCTTGCATGTTGTGTACTGTCACCTTATTGTGGTGGTGTCATTTTGATATTGTAAAATGTTTTATATTGTGTAAAGATGGTGGTAATAGTTTTCATTATGGATTTAGCAGTTGAACTGTACACATAGACATTTAATTTTGCACAATGTGAATTTTCATATCGTTTGGATTATTGTTGACTGTTATATTGTTGTGTTTTTACAGGAGATGGATACCTTTATGATGTTGGTGTGCACATATGGTTGCAGTACAACTGTAAGAAATGTTGCCCGCACATTGTGTTATTTGCGTTTGGTGGAGTGTTTGTGTGAAAAATAGGTGAGTTGTCTGCTTGTTCTATTTCATTGTTCTGTCGGCTACCTGGGATTAATAGGTGTGATTTGGACAATGAGGAAGAATTTCAGAATATGTTATGGCTTGCTAAATCAATGGGGGTACAACATGTAGAAGTTGTTGTTGAGTTGAAAAGTGATATTGGTCAATCGAGTAGCTCTGGGTTGCTGCGTGTGGGGGGTGAGGAAGAAATTGATGCACTACAGAGATTTTACCACCATAAGGAGAAGGTGTTGTTGTCAGCCCCTTGGGCAAATGGTATTAAGCATGCGGGACAACGGTTTGTTGGAGGTGCACAAGAATTTCATGACATTTTATGTAAGTACGCCATCCAATGTGGGTTTTAGTTTACGTATGTCAAGAACGAGACAACAAGGGTTACTGCGGTGTGTGGGCGAGGAGAGAGGCTGCTTGTGGGCTATACAATGCAGAGCACAATGAGCAAATGGTTTTTTCTACATCAAGAGGTTCAGTGATGTGCATAGTTATGGTACAGATGTCCGAACATCGAAGAATCCAAGAGTTAGTTCTGATTTGGTGTTAAGTGCTATATCTGAAATTGTGAGGGACAAGTTGTTGACTTGGTTGTGTGAGGTGGTGACTATTTTGAAGAGGGATTATGGGCTAGATGTGAGTTACCACATGGTATGGTTGGGCATGGAGAAAACAAAGGCTGTTATTCATGGAGCTCACTCATTATCGTTTGACCAGCTACGGTGGTATTCGGATGCTGTGATGCGTTATAATTCGGGAAGTTATGTCAATATTGACTATGATGCAAGTAGTCAATAGTTTTGTCATTTCTTGGTATCATTCGCTACGTGTATTTCTGGGTTCAATTCTTGTCGGCCTTTGTTATTCCTAGATGAAATATTCCTTAAAGGAAAGTACAAAGGTCAGCTACTTGCGACAATGGCGAAAGATGGAAACAATGGTTAGTATTTTTTTTAGCTATGTATCTATGTAAATATTCACATTGCGTGGCACAGTGTAGATATATGACTGACCACATAGTGTGAACATTCACATGACTTGGTTACTTTATAGTGTTTTTGAAAACTACTTGGGTTAATATTCACATAGGAATATTGTGATCAGTTGTTTAATGGTGTTGTGTTGTAGGTCTATTTCCTGTTGCATTTGCGATTGTTGATTCAGAGACCACGGCCAATTGGTCGTGGTTCTTGCATGAACTTGGAAAGGTTGTTGATGGTAAGCATCAAATTACTTTTATTTCTGATCGTAATCTTGGTCTGTTAGAAGCGATGCCGAAGGTGTTCCCATCTGCTTACCACGGTTATTGCTTACAACACTTGAAGAACAACTTAAGAGACCAGATCAAGGTAATTGATAATGGATCTAGGGACCACCTCGTTAGTAGTTTGGGTGACTATGCTTACGAGCCAACTGTGGTAGGGTTCCATGAAAAGCTTGAGAAATTAAAAGAAGAGGGTAAGCAACGAACTCATAGTTTTTTCAAGGAGTTGGCACCTGAGCACTGGGCGAATTCATATTTCGGGTAATAGTAGTTTCCTGATGTATTCCATTTGTCAAATTTAGAATGGTAGCGATGTGAAATTTTAATTATGTTTTGTGACGATGTGAACTTTCATATTCAGGTTCAAAGAAATTTAATCTAATATTGTACAATGTTTGTGATGTTGTGCAAGGGCATGCGTTATGGGGAGATGACATCCCGAAGTTATTTAATAATTGGATTAAAGAAGTACACAATCTTCCTATTACTCAAATGGTGGACACAATTCGTACTCAGTTGATGCAGCAAATGTCTGCGCGACGTGACCAAGCAAATAAGTGGAATGAGCTTATTTGTCCTACATTCGAAACAATGCTTCTTGATTCGTTCAATGACAGCAGGTCTTGGCAGGTGAGCAAAGCCAATGAGGATGTGTTTGAGGTTCATTCTATACCATCTGTTACAGTTGATATTGCAAGGCGTATGTGTTCTTGCTTCAAATGGCAAATTAACGGATTTCCATGTAACCATGCTGTTGTTGCTATTCAGAAGAGCCGCTACAATCTCAATGATTGTGTGGAACATTTCTTTCATGTAGAGATGTATCGTGTAGCCTATTCGGGTGCCATATTCCCTATACTGTGGGTGGAAAAACCGCTTTTTGATCCCACAAACTTCACTATATGCCCACCAACTGTGAAAAGACCACCTGACAGGCCGCAAAAGAATAGAATCCCATCAAGGGGTGAGAAATTAAAGCAAATAAGGTGCGGGAGATGTGATAAGTTGGGAAATCACAATCAGAAATCATGCAAGGAGCCGATATAGGGTGTACATTTTTTCATTTCAACATTGTGTTTTACATGGGATTCTTAAATTAATTTTTGAAATAAGATTGTGTTATATTGGCAAACATTGTATTGCAATAAGATTACGTTGTGTTGGCAAACCTAATAATGCATCAGTATTTGATTTGTGTTTTTTTTTTTTAGGTAGCAAACTGACTTTTTGTTGGTGTTAAGGATGAATACATGATGTGAACATTCACACTTGTGTAAGATAATCACATTATGTGAATACTTGCACTTGGGTTGAACTTTTTAACATTATTGTGGTGTGAATATTTACATTCTTGTTACCATTGATAGCATCAAATTAGATGACATGAACATTTACATCAATGTAACCATTCACATCATCAAATCAGAAGATGTGAATATTCATATATGTATTACGAAATGTAATTGTGAGTGTTTTTTGTTAGCAAAAATAAGATGATGTTCTTATGTATATTATGATGCATACATGGGCGTGGTGTGAATATTGACATCGCTATTGTCATTCACATCATCAAATTATTTGTTGTGAATATTAACTTATGTGTTAAGAGATATCATATTCACACATGTCATATTGTGTTATAATAACACTTTAAGCAATATTCACATCCATGTAGTAGGGCTTTTAGACATAAGAATGTGTATGATCCTTCCGTGATGTGAAAATTCACATCATGTTGTGTGTCAAAAAAAAAAAATATATATACAATCTCAATGTACATGATCAACACGAAATAGGCCTCAAAATGCATATACATATATTGAATGAACAATAGCAGTACAAGTAGCAATGTAGAATTGATTTACAATCAAGCTAGTTTGCTCCAATATGTCAAATCTATTGACACTAAATTGTCTTAAATGTGGATAACAGTTTCGGGTAACAGTGATAGGTGGACACTCCGCACCTATAAGTTTTCACATTGCACTGTCTTTCTGTGATTTAGAAAAAAGTATACTAATGAGTCTCTTATTTGACACCATTCAAAGTGATTAAGGCTATCAACAATTTCTTCATGGTATACACGCGCCCTTATGATGTAACACACTGCGGGCCCGTAATCCACCCTGAAAATGCAAAGTTGTTGTTGTTTGATTTTGAAATTTAGGTGTGTATAATGGTTGTGGAAGATGTGTACAAATTGATTTGAGGCTTACGAATCTGATGCTTGCTGACGAAAGACGTCTACTAATATGATTGGTTGCGATGGATTTTGGCTTGATAATTTCGTCTATAGTGGTGATGATAGTCCGATGTTGCGCACCACAGCCTCGATGTAGTCCCTCTACCATGAGAGGAACAATGAAATTTCATATTAGGCACAAAACAACATAGTGCATACGTCCAAATTCAAATATTACACATCATGACAAGTATTATATGTGTTAACCACTTACGACTATTTGTGCTTTGTCAATATATGAGTCATGTATGCCGAGTCTTGGTCGTAGTGAGTTATAATGCCTCCATAGATTGTCTTTGACGTCATAGACAACAATTGTCCAGTGGAAGTCGTGTTGTATTGGGAAGATGAAGTATTTCTGACCTTGATAGTCATTGATATGTACATCAATAAATTTATTTCTTTTGTAGGGGGTACTCTTGCATGACTTTCTGCACACAATGGACACACAATGATGTACCAAGTATTTATATCAATTTTCACATCTGTTAATTTATCAAGTAGTCCTATAATATATTATAGATATGAATGTTCACATCTGTTAACTTCTTAATCAGTCAAATAATGTTGTTGTTAACATTCACATCTGTCTAGCATGTAAGTCAATAATATAATCACATAATGTTCAAATTAACATTCACATGTATTCAACATGTAAATCAAATAATGCTCATGTGAACGTTCACATCAACATCAAACATAAACAAACCAATAATCTAGTTGTTACCAAACATGTGTTTGTAATGATGAATGCCAAATCCTCCAAAGTTAGGTTGACCAGTTCTTGTAGTTCGAGTAGTATTTTTCCATATGCATTTATCACCTACATAAACAGAGGAGTGACAGTACATTATTTCTAGTGTCTTTACAGTGTGTGTGTGTGTGTGTGTGTGTGTGTGTGTGTGTTTTGTATATATTTGCGAGTACCATACGTTGTTGTGTATTGATTCTTCCTTTATGATGTATATGATGTCATCAAAATACACGTTTCTAGACTTTGAGTCCCTTCGCCACACAAGCAACCTGTGCATTGTGATTACGAAAAATGTGAATGTTAACATTGCACGATTATAGAATGATCTAATCTATTAAGTACATATGTGAAGCTTAACATCATCATAAAAATAAATTCAATCTCAACGTGTGTAATCACTTACTCATCACCGCCATTCTTGTGTAAATTTTGGACTTTTTGCTTATTGAGTTTGCTCATGTTGGCCCAAACCTTCAATTTGTTGGTCAATGTTAACTTCTTGTATTTTGTTGGGTGCTTTGTTTGTGGATGTTTGTCTACATCTTGTACAATGTGGACTATATGGGATTGCTCTTCAGCTCCCACTTTCCCTTTCTTTTGGCCAGCATGAAACATGGACTGAAACTCATCCAAGTGGTGCTCTCTCCTTACCTTCTGCTTGATGCGCTTTACCCTAGATGGTGGGCTGAGAATGTCTTTCAGTGTTGCAATGGGATGCTTCTTAAGGCTGTCATGAACCTTTTGTGCTTTGACTTGCGTGATAATGTGGACGGACTGATCATCGTAAAGGTCTTGAAGAATTGTTTTTTCACATTTCAAGTTGAAGACCAATTTTGTCAATCATTGAATTTCTATATCTTTCCACTCCATGTAATTCTTAATCTCCATGTCCATATTGGATGGGCCCTATCAGTCGAATAATTTGGCTTCAAGTGCAGCGATCACCCTTGCCCTTAACTCCCACGATTCTTCTAACTGTTTGTATTTTGCTTCCCATTGTCGTACGAGACCCCA